AGGATTAATGTTTCAAAGATGCAGTTGTACAGTGCTAAAAAAAAGACATAGAGATTAGATGAAGGGTAATTATGGTAGCCAATATGTGTTACTACCAACATATGCTGCAGAGATTAAGAATATAAATCCTGGTAGTTTTGTGAAGATCAATTATGATAACCCACCCAAGCCAATCTCAGAGAATGAACCCACACCAGATGAAGAGAGTACAATCAGTTCTAACCTAGTATTTAAAAGAATATTCATTTCATTTGAGGCAATGAAAACAGGGTTTATTGATGGATGTAGACCCTTCATAGGGGTAGATGGTTGTCACTTGAAGGGTCCCTATGGTGGAGTGTTAATTTCAGCAATTGCGCTAGATAGGAATAATAGGTTGTTTCCACTGGCATTAGGAGTAATGTAATGTGAATGTAAGGAGAGTTGGACATTTTTCCTAGAACACTTGAGAACAATACTCAGTCATGCATTGCCCACTAGGCCTTGGACCATCATGTCTGATGGACGAAAGGATCTTGACAAAATTGTTAGTGAAATCCTACCAGAGGCTAGCCATAGAAGATGTTGTATGCATTTGTTTAACAACTATAGAACTAAATTTCCTAGAGTGATCTTGAGGAAGAACTTTTGGAAGGCAGCAAAGGCTTAGAATCAAAGAGCATATGATGAGGCTATGCAGGCCATTCAAGGTACCTCAAATGAAACATATGGATGGCTGCAAAAAGTTCCTGTGGAAGCAAGGTCTAAGCATGCATTTAATGGTAGGATAAGAAGTGATCATATCACAAATAACATCACAGAATCTTTCAATAATTGGTTGGGAATTTTCAGAAGTAAACCAATTCTAACAATGTTAGAGAGCATATGATGTAAGTTAATGGGCAAGTTTCAAATGAGGTATCAAAAAGCATTGCAATGACAGTCCAATGTAACTTTGAACATTAAAAAAAGCTTGATAAGACCTTGTATGAGTCAAGAAAGTGCAAAGTAGAGTATGCAAGAGATCAAGAGTATGATATTAGGGACAATGAGGAAGTGAGACACATTGTGCATCTAGGTAGAATGAGTTGTTCCTGTAAAGATTGGGAGATCTCTGAGATTCCATGCATACATGCTATGCCTATATCTCACATAGTAGAATGAATATGGAAGACTTTGTTCACCCCTATTACTCAAAGCAAAAATATTTGATGACCAATGATGGGATTATACATCCAATATTAAACCACACTATGTGGACACTGATAGATGACGAGCCTTTACAACCACCACCTCTCAAAAGATTGGTAGGAAGACCAAAGAATTCCAAGAAGAGGGATGCTCTGAGCCTCCAGCAAGCACAAGTCAGTCCAAGAGGTCTCATATTGGTGTAAGGAATTTGGGCACAATAAGAGGACATGTTGAAAAGGTCCAGTCAGGGGTGGAACAAGTACTAGAAGCAGAGGCATGGGTTCATCTGAGAGAGAAGGTAGATCTATTAGTAGATGAATGGGTTCTTCATCTAAGAGAGGAGGCATCACTTCATCTATGAGAGTAGGCACTTCATCTAGGAGAGGCAGAGGCAAAGCTTCATCTAGAAGAGGTATTTCAGCTGAGATAGGTATTTCATCTGGGAGAGGCAACTCTAGTAAAGGTAGGGGCCGGGGTAGAAGCAAGAATACACATGTAAGCATATTTTTTTTTTCTTTACCTTAGCATTTTTATTTATGACTAATGTATTTATGTACTAATTTTGGTTTGGAATTTATGTACCAACTTTGGTTTGTAACTCAGGATATTCCAAGAGGGAGCCCTTCAATGCCTACTCAGTGTGTGACACAAGTCACAAAAACATAAGGTTAGTTTAGATAACTTCACTTTAGATTTTATTTACATGGTAAGGGTTGAAAACTGCGTTTTTATTTATTTATTTATTTTTATTTTTTTTGTTGGTTGTTTCTTGCAGATAACTTGACTACTTAATGATGGTTTTTGGGTACATATGTTGGACAATGAACAGGTACAGAACATATAGTACATAGTGCGTAGTGTTTTACTGAGCTATAGATGATGTACCCACTTTTGTTTTTTTTTTTTTTTTGTTGTGGGCTTCTTAATCATACTTTTGTATATGAAGATATGGAGATATGGGCATTTTTTTTGTTTAACTGTGAGATAGCGATTGCTTCTTTTTTGGGGATGTAACTAGGAAGCATTTATACACTCTTTTGGGGTGTAACTGTGAAATAACTATGAAGCATCTATGAACTAACTATGAAGCATTGATATTCGAACTTGTTTATATATGTATGAAGCACTCATAATTGCGACATATATTTTGGGATTTGCCATGCTTTTATTCCACAAAAACTAGTACAAGCTTGTTGTCTTACACTTATATAGAACAGGCTTTACATATTTCATTACACAAAAACTAGCACAAGTTTGTCATATTGGATATACTTGCATTATATAACCCATAGAACAAACTTTACATATGATAAGTAGGTTACTTCATAATGGCAACAAACAGGGCAAACAAACTTATGACCAAACTTATGATTATCAGTAGCTTCATATATCCTTGGTTGTCTTCAAGTTCTTGAACTTTTGTATGCACATCCTTAAAATTTCCTTGAGATAGTGGCCTTTCAACAGTATCAATAGCTTCATTAGTTGAGTTAACAAGTTTGCACCAATCCCAAAATTTGCATTTCTTTCTGAACAAACATAATACAACTTTCTTTGTTTTTGTTTTTTTTTCAGATTTTGTCGCCTTGATAGCTATCTTTTGACCACAAAGACGTGTTTTGCTTCTATATTTAAGTATGTTGGTTTCATTGTTTGAGGATGCCATATCACTATACTTGTGCATGGACATACCAAAAAAAAAAAAAAGAAGAAGTTAAAATACATAGGTCATTAAAAAAAAAAAATACAAAGAACTAAGAAAGAGAGAGAGAGCTCACTTGAAATCTTCATCCATGTCAAGCAAGGTTGTAAAGAGAGAGAGAGTTTAGAGGGAAACTTAACAGGTGCTGAAAAATTAGAGGCAAATAATTAGAATGAGATGTATTGTTTTATAAAGGATGAGAAGGGTATTTTGGGCATCTGTGTATTTATTGTGGCTGATGTCACTATTTTTGTTTACTTTAGTAACGTCAATCTATTAGAAGGGGGAATCTAACTATTATTTTCAAAAATAAGAAAAGTCTATGTAATTTTTAAAACTACATAAAAAATATCTATAATTAAAACAAACTCAAGAAAGGTAAGTATAATTTACGCTTTTATTTATTACCTTTGCTAATTGTCATTAAGGTTGCTAATTGCTTTGTATGGTCTACCTTGAGATTCCATCAGTCTATTCCTCCAAGAAACTTCCACTGTAAAACTATATATTTATACTATTATATTAAGTGAGCTTCTATTTTGATTTTTTACAACCTTTGTCATATGGTATTTACAGAATTTAAAAAAAAGAAAAAAAACCTACTCTACGGTATAACTTTTCACTAAATCACATTCTCCAAATAACCATTCTATAATAACTTCTTTTATTCTCTACTAACTTACTTTAATTTTTTTTTTTTTTTTTTTTACTTTTGCTTTCTTTCTCCCTTTTCTACAATGGTTTTCTCTTTTTAAGAAAAGAGTAATGTTACGTCGCTCGAAAATGGCTCCCCCGAATCCCCCTAAAGGTTTTTTTTTTTTTTTTTGAATCAGAAACGAAGAAGAAGAAGAAGAGAAGTGAGAAGAAGAAGAAGAAGAAGAAGAAGAAGAAGAAGAAGAAAAGTGAAGGGAGAAAGGAGAACTGGACAGGAGGGGGCATAAACTAGAAGCGGAGGCGCGGCAGAGGCGAGGCGGAGGCTGAGCTGCTGCGACGATTGGCGATCGGCCGACGATCGGCCGAGCTGCTGCGACGGCTTCTCTCCCTCTTTCTCTCTGTTTCCATTTTCGGGGGATTCGGGGGAGCTCATTCTAGCTCCCAAGCTTTATCGTAAAGAAAATATAAAAGTGTTTCATTCAATTATGGCAAATAAAGTACAAACAAATAGATGACTATATTTTATATCTCTGTAACGGTAAGTGATTTAAGAGTTTTCATTTTTTATATTTTTAATGAATAAAATTTTGTTTTTTTGTTTTTTTTGTTTTGGGGTATAAATTTTGTTTATTTTTATTCATTGTGTTTTTAATTTTTTTCTTTCTATCTTTCTTTAAAACGAAAGTAAATTGATTTTCAATTTTCAAATTGTTTCTAAAAAAATATTATTTTAAACTTTAAAAAAAAAATTTGCGCACACAAAAAAAGAAAGAGGATGCAATAAAAAAAATGAATATATAAATTAAAAAACAAATTGAATATAAAAATAATTTTGTCCAAACTCAATATTTTTAACTGAATACATCCTCATTCTTAACTCAAAGAGATTTGATGAACATAAAAAATTAATTAATTAATTAAATTAAAAACTAAAAAAAAAAAAACTCAAAAATAATGCAAAAGTAATAAGAGTGTGTGTATATATATATCATATCAAATCCAGAGGGGAAAAAAAAAGTTATGCAATTAAATATATAAATTTTAAAAAAAAAATTGAATGAGAATGCATTAAAAATTTTATCAACTGAAAAGTAGTTTTTCTTAGTTCAATTTTTATCAACCCAATTACATAAAAAAAAAAAAAAATTCTATTATCAACTCAATTACATAATTTTATTTTATTTTTTGAAATTTACACACATTGTGTGTCTCTACCACTAGTATACTTTTAAAAGAACACAAAAAATAATAAATCAAATTAATGAAATAGAATACAAGTGAAACATTTGCTTAATATAAGTAAAAAAAAGTACAAAAATTACACAGTTGTCACCGGTAATATACAAGTTTTGTAATTATTATTATTATTATTATTTTTTTGTTGATACCCTACAATTTATAAGAGAAAAAATTAAAAGATTTATATATTAAAATACAGGAACAAGAAGAAGAAATATAGGAATAAACAAATAGGGGAGGTTGAAGGGTTGAACAGCCTTGACTTGTGAGATCGAGACTTGCCATCAAACCACAAAGCTTCTCTCTTTCTCTCTGAATTACCCACAATTTCTATGTCACAAAAGAAGCATTTTTTACTGAGTTTTTCACTACCAAAAACCGAACCTATTGTCTCTCTCCCTCCTTGTTTCTTCAAGCAATTTCATCTCTCTCTCTCCCTCTCTAGGCTCTCTATTTCTCATTCTCAGCTGTCTTCTTCTCTTCCGTCGGAAATCCACCAAATTTCTTTTGTAAAGTCTCAAAAGCCCAACTCACAAGAAAACGCTTCCAATAACTACTACCCTTTTCTCTACTAAGGACGTGCCAACTCTCTCTCTCTCTCTCTCTCTCTCTCGTTAAGTAAAGCCTTTCTTTTTCATCTTTGGGGCTTATCTTCCAAGGGTTTTTCTTTGGTTTCTTTTGTGTTGTTTCTTTATGTGAATTGGGATTTGTTCAAGAGAGAAAAATGAAGGATTGGAGGTGGGTTTTGGTTAAATTTCTCTATGTTGCTTTTGTGCTGAGGATTGGTGCTGTGGAGGGTCAACAAACTGAGCGAATTTCAGGTGTGAAGCGTGATGATTCTTCAATTTTATTTATTTTTATAGAAATTTTTTCATTCCAAGTTGTTTCTATTTTTGGGTTGATTTTATTACGATTTCACTTGGATTAACTGACTTTGACTTTCACTTGAAATTCATTTGGTTCTGTTGGTGATATAGGATTTGGATTTGTTTCCTTTCTTGGGGCTATTGATTTGGACACCTTAGGCTGTGTTTGGTTCAAGAATTTGGAGAGGGATTTGAAAAGAAAAATGGAAAAATTGTGTGAAACTAGGTGAATTCTTGAACCAAATCCCTTCTCAAATTCTTGAACCAAACACCGCCTTAAGGAATCAAAAAATTGAAGTAAAAAAAAAGGTTGTGAGACATCAGATATGTGGTTTCAAACGAATGTGGTTTCTTGGTATTCTGACCCTAAAATGGGATTTAAATTGTAAAATTGCCATGTCCAACTATTTTTGTTTCTTTTTTTGGAAAAAAGAAAAATCAATTAAGTCCAAAAGACCAATCCCATATGTTTGTAGGATTGATCAGCATTCCGTCAAGTTTACATTGGGACACTTTTTGGTCCATGTAAATAGATCCAATTTATATCAGTCGAGCCAGCACAATTACAGCATTAATGTGATACAAAGAAAAGTCCAAGGTTTGCTTGGTTAGAGTTGGATTTATCATGGATAAAAAAGATAGAAAAAAAAAATTAAAAAGAAGAAGAAGAAGAAGAAGAAGATTGATAATCAGGGGTCACTGGTTTTAGTGAAGCATAAATAGGACAATTGTGTTAGAAATACTAAGTTAGATCATTTATATTCTGTATTTGTTCTTATTGGTAATATATATGGAAAATGATATACAATCCCATTTTCTAGATCCACTTTCTACACCCAATGATGTGTAAGTGAGATAATTGATTTTTAATTAGAGAAGACAACACACACACAAGGAGAGAGAGAGAGAGAGAGAGATGCTTTAGATATTCTAATAAATTGCCACATCATTGGGTTTGAAGAGTAGATCTAATTTTTGGGCCTAAGTAGCATCACCCAATATATATTGAAAGGGGGTGGAACACTGGTTCTATTGTGCCCCGCAGTTCCTTTTTATTGATAATAAAGTTAGTTTTTCTTTGAATAGGAAAAGAAAAAAGAAAAGATGATTATATTTTTTGTTGAGCCTCCTCATCAAAATTATTAAGTATAGTGTTCAAATCCTCCATGACAAAGAGAGTTGTGTTATTGTGTTGGGCATCGCTCGGTGCTTTGGCTGCCAAACCTGAGAACAAAGATTTGAATTGGTTTTGTACCCAGTCAGGAGACTGAAACAAGTGAATAGATTTTCAGTGATAAACCCTATTGTTTTAAAAGGAGGAATGATTTTGATTGATGTGAATGGTTGTGAAGAGGCCCAAAGGGGGTACTTAGAGTGAATCACAATAACAGGCAAAAGGATCCAAATAGTCTGACGTGGAAAGGGAAGCTTTGATGCCACAATGAGAAGTACATGATGTTGTTGGACATTGAACAAATTATTACCGTCTTCATTCAATTAATCATTATGTGGAGTTATAGCAAGAGTGTGGGATATTTATGTTTAAAATCAATCTCTTTGTTTTGTTGAAAGCCAATCACGTAGAATATTAAGTCCAATAATCTTTTTTGTTGCTCATTATTCAGTAGGTTGATAGCCGTTTTAGCTTCATGAGGATCCGAGAAGAACTTGATGGTACGGATCTCCAATGTCTTATCCTTTGTCATATTTGCACTTGGTTGTGTCATGAGCTTCAACATCGAGCTTCCTAATGTGCAAAGCCCTTTACACTGAAACTATTGGTTTAGTCCCTTTCTAACATTAATTAATTAAACTATTTGAGGAGCTATGAAGGTGTTGAAAGTGGAGAAGACAATAAACAAACCAAACTAAACTAAGTCTTGTGTTCCACTCAAGCGAGGTCGGCTGCATAAATCAGTTTTTGGCCATTCTGCTCTGTCCAGAGCTATAAGCTCAAATTAAATTATATTCTTATTTATTTTACTACTGCATTCCAAATAATTGTTGATCTATATTACCACAATGTGATTTGGATTTGGTTGGTTTAACGTCTAACTTAAATTAAATGGAGTATAAAGACTATAGAGTGTCAATGTGAGGACAAATCTATTCCTAAACTCACTACACTCAAAATAGAGGTCACATTGTAATTGGACCACTAAGAAGGTGAAGCTATCAATTTTGATATTTTCTTTGCATATTTAAGTAGTTTATTATTTAAAATTGGGGGAATTACATGCAAGTGGGAATTGGGAAAAAAAAAAAAAAATTACCAACAGGGGTGCAAGTGACACTTGCACCCCTACAGCCTTTCATTTGTACCCCACCACAAACACACTTGCACCCATGTTTGTAATTTTTTTCCCCAACTGGAACCTGCATGTAATTTCCCCTTTAAAATTAACCAAACTTCTAGAATGCTCCTTGTGATTCTGCTCTCTGAATTTCAAAGTATATTGCAATGGCGGATTAAAGGACGGAAGAATTGTAACATTACACATCAAACATCAATATTATATAAGATAAGGTATATTGCGATTTTTATTATTATTTATTGTGCTTGAATTTGAATAATTTAGGTAGTGCCGGAGATGTCTTGGAAGATGATCCTGTGGGAAGGTTGAAAGTTTTTGTTTACGAGCTTCCAAGCAAATACAACAAGAAGATTCTTCAGAAGGATCCGAGATGCCTCAATCACATGTTTGCTGCTGAGATCTACATGCATCAGTTCCTTTTGGCTAGCCCTGTACGAACCCTCAATCCCGAGGAAGCTGATTGGTTCTATACCCCTGTATACACCACTTGTGACCTTACACCAAATGGCCTCCCTTTACCATTTAAATCGCCACGAATGATGAGGAGTGCAATACAGCTTATTTCTTCTAACTGGCCTTACTGGAATAGGACTGAAGGGGCTGATCACTTTTTCATAGTACCGCATGATTTTGGGGCATGCTTTCACTATCTAGTAAGAAGTCTTGTTCTCTATTATTTCTCAAGCTTTTTTGTTAAAAAAAAAATTTCAACTTTTTTTTTTTGAAAAGCATAAGAAAGGAGCCTTGGATGGATTTGGATAGTTTGCAAACAAGCCGAGCTTTAGGGTCTTTGAGCTCTAACTTAGCTTTGATTGCTTAAATGAGCTGAGTTTGAGCTCAAAAAAATTAAAAAATAAAAATATAACTTAAATTAAGAGAACAAAAAGAAAGAAAATTGTGGAAAAATATAAAAGAATGCTCATGTTAATAAGGGCTGGTTTGGCTTATCCTAAATAAGCCAAAAAGTCAAAAAGTTACTCCAAAATCCAAAAAGATATCACTATTCACCAAAAAAAAAAATAACCAAAAGCCGGCTGCTGTGCAGCGGCAGTGCACATATATGAAATGATTGGGTGTGATTTGCACACACACCGCTGTTTGGCCTGCGGGGGCTATCACGGGTCCCGTTTTGATAATCTGAACCGTTAAATGTGTAGAACTCGTCGAGTACTATATGTCTGCAAAAAATCACATTGATCGGATATCGATAACTATATGATCAGATCAGTTATGTACGACAAATGGATGGTATTATAATTAATGATTGAAAAATAAATATATCTGATCAGATAGCTATCGATATCCGATTAACGTGATTTTTTATAGGTACATAGTGTTCGACGAGTTATACACATTGAACGGTTCAAATTATTAAAATGGAACCCGTGATAACCCCCACAGACCAAACAAAACCGTGCAGTGCTTTGTACAAAAAATAGCCAATAATTTCCAACTCCCATTCACACCTTCCGATTTGTACGGCTGGGGCCCACCTGTCACTATTCATCTCTTACACACTCTTTTTATACAATTTTTTAATACACATTTTTTCATAAAAATTCAAAAAGTTAACCCAAACCTCCATATTTTTTTCTCAACTTTTTTAGTCCAAAAAGACAAAAAGTGCACTTTTTTAGGACACCCCAAATCAGCCCTAAATTTCGATCAATGGAAGTATGTAAATGTACACAAACACCAACAATAAATAGAGAAATAAAATAAATTAATGAAAGTGTATTTTATATATTATTAAAAATAAATATTAATTTACATTTCTTGTATTCACGAGCTGCTGAATTTGGATCTACTTGACTTGGCTTGATCACTAAAGAAGCCCTAAAAATTGGGCTCGAGCTTATTCATTTAGCAAACAAATAGAGATCGAATGAGCTTTAAACAAGCTAAGCTCGAGCTTGTTCATGAACAACTAAATTCATTTGTAGCCCTTCATATATTTCCAAACACTCACATCGGCTCTCTAGTTTCAATTTTTCAGGCCTCCAAATGTGATTCTTGTACCATTACTAAACTCTCACATTTTAGGCTTTTCGCAAGCAAATTTTCTTCCCAATTTTAACTCTTATTTGTCTATTCCTATTTGTGTGTGTTATTGCAGGAAGAAAAAGCTATTGAAAGAGGAATACTTACAATGCTCCAACGCGCTACCTTGGTTCAAACATTTGGTCAACGGAATCATGTTTGCTTAAAGGATGGCTCAATCACAATTCCTCCCTACGCTCCTCCACAGAAAATGCAAGCCCATTTGATTCCCCCTGACACTCCTCGTTCCATTTTTGTATACTTCCGAGGTTTGTTTTATGATGTGGGGAATGACCCAGAAGGCGGTTACTATGCAAGGTATATTCTTCCAAGCCATGATTTAATTTATGTGGTTTTAGTTGTACACTAAGAAGCATGGGCATGGACAAATGATGCAACATGAACATGACAAGGACACGCTGACCCAAAATTTTAAGAAAAGTAAGACATGACAAGTGAGGGACATGTGGAAAAATTAAATTTTAAAAAAAGTAAGACATGACATGTGAGGGACATGCGGAAAAATTATTGTATGTCAGTATATGAATATTTAATTCAAAGATAATAACAAAATGTACTGTAGGTCTATAAAACTAATTTCTAAAGTCTAGAAGCGAAGAATATATATGAATTTACGTTCTTTTTCTTTTGTCATTGGATTCGAAGTTATTTTATTCTTTCTTTTGTCATTAGATTCAAAGTTATTTTATTCAAACTTGTCGTGTATTTCATGTGTCTAAGCTATAGACATGTTTTCCAAGTGTCTAAAGCGTGTCTGAGTTTAAAAATTTTTAAACCATAGTCAAACATGTTTGGACATATGTCCGGTAGGTGTTGAGAAGTGTCTGGTAGATTGTCATGTCGTGTTGTGTTGTTTCGGTGCTTGACACGGTGTTCGACATAACATGCCACCTTTTTAGAAGTGCATGTGCTTCTTAGATTGGACATTTTATGCCAGTGAAACTTAGACCAAAAGGTTCCTAATTTTATTATTTTTGAATTTCACAGAGGTGCCCGAGCAGCAGTGTGGGAGAATTTTAAAGACAACCCTCTTTTCGACATCTCCACAGAGCACCCTATGACTTACTACGAAGATATGCAACGAGCAGTTTTCTGTTTGTGTCCGCTCGGGTGGGCCCCGTGGAGTCCGAGACTAGTTGAAGCAGTGATATTTGGGTGCATCCCTGTCATCATCGCGGATGACATTGTTCTACCTTTTGCTGATGCAATCCCGTGGGAGGAAATTGGTGTCTATGTGGATGAAAAAGATGTCCCAAATTTAGACGCCATGCTCACATCAATTCCAACTGAAGTAATATTGAGGAAGCAGAGATTGCTTGCCAACCCTTCGATGAAGCAAGCAATGTTGTTTCCACAACCTGCTCAACCTGGGGACGCTTTCCATCAAATTTTGAATGGACTTGCGCGTAAGTTGCCACACGACAAGAGTGTGCACTTGAAGCCAGGTGAGAAGATCTTAAACTGGACAGCGGGCCCTGTGGGCGACCTGAAACCTTGGTAGCGGTTGTTATAACATCATTCTTTTGTTGAAAGCAGTCATGTGTTCTGCAGCTCACCCTCCCTCCAAGCTGCCAATTTGCATCAAGTTGTACATCTTCGTTTTGCAAATATGCACTCAATTATATGTTATTTTTTGGCAGTTGTAGTAGGGATGTGGGTTATTTGATGTAGCTCACTTCAGGGTTAGAGTTTGATCTCAAGGCTCTTGCTGGTTGTTCCATTGTTGTTAGCACCTGTACTTTAAGCTTATGAAGCAATTTTTCAAATTAAAGTGCTGGCCTTTTGCTAATTCATTTAGTTTTTGCAATTCTGCATTTAGGATTAGGATGTTCTGAGCCTTCAATGAATTCTTTATTTTGGGTATTATTATTTATTTTGGGGGTTAGTATTCATATCTTGGCCATTACTGGCTCATGTTTGTTGTGGGTTCTTCATGAATGTTTCTTCCATACAGAGGCGTTACACAAGGTGCTACCATCTCTTCCTCTGTTTCTTTAGAGTCTCATGTTGGCTGATGAAATATTCCTCCTTGGAGAAATATCATTCCTGTTTTTGTCAAAACTAATTTCTAATTTTTCAATAAAATTTCTATAAAATAATAAAATAATAAAAAAAAAATCAAAATCTCAGCCAAACAAATCTAAAATCTCAACCATGCAGAGAAGTTCTAATTTGGTGCATGTTTCAGCACCACTAGCCCTAGACCTGAAATGTCGATTTTCTTGAGCAAAATTCAAGATCCACAAGGAAAGAAAGAACTAAACCTTGAGAATTCATTGAGAAACACATGCATGTAAGCTAAATGGTTAAATCCAGAATCCTCATTCTGGGCACAATTTAAATGCTAGACTTCTAAATCTCCAAGTTCCATATGGCAAAAGACAGTAAACTATCAAGCAAAACATGAAAGAAAGCCGATCTGAATCTGGAAGAAATTTTGCCAATCCATCAGAACAGAAAAAGATATTTGCCAATCCATCAGAACAAAAGACTAATTGCATAAAAATTTCAATGAATTTAATCCTCAACCATCTAGATCAAGAGGAACTAATCAAGAAAATTTCTACCAACCTGAGGGGCAAGTATTACACAAAATATAACTCATTCCACTATACTTTCAGCTGTATTAGCCTACAAACACCATATGACGGTTTGGATATTTACAAGGGCTTAAGAAATCCATTCATTCTCCAGGGCATAATGTTTGTCATTTGTATTGAACGTTTCTGTGCAAACATTGATGGAAGACGAATTAAATGAAGTTGGATTTGTATTGTGATTGTGAGTGAAGGTGATCATTCTTGGAGAACAAATGAACCTTCTATCCTTTTCTCCATGGACTTTGGAGGAAAATTCAAAGGAGAAAGCACGTCAACAAAACTCGAAGCAGGTGCCGGCTTGAATTCATATGGACCTCCTTTCACACCCCAAACCTGTAGTAAAAAAACACAAAAATGTTATGAGAGACTTCCGTCAACAAATCTATGAAATTTTTACAGTGAAATACAGAGGCCATCAAACTAACTTGGTTTCCATCATCGTCATAGCCCCTATCCCAGGTGTGTATCTCATTATTCTTCAAGACCGAAAGATCCGAGGTACAATATGTCGCACCATTCTGTCATATATTGAAGGCAAATAGAAGTCACTGATCAGAAGAGTATTATAGCTTCCACAAAGAAGAGATTTACCGGAAGGGAAAAAAGAAAACCCAAAAAAATGAAAATAGGATGAATAGGCAAGTACCCAAGAATTAGGAAATCCTTCTGCCGTCGAACCTTCATATAAGCAAGGCTTGCCACGTTCACAGCGTTTGAGATATATTGTTGTCAAATGTTCTGCAATATCCTGCATATCATGCAAACAAGTCACAGTGGAATTATGTGACAAGGTAGTACTAAAAACATTGAGATAAAAAAAATAAAAACTTAAAATTTATTCATATTTGACATCCAAGTATGGGCAGAAAAGCTTACTAAAGATATTAGCAGAGGACTAAGGTTAATAACATAGTTGCACGAAGCAGGGATGGGGATGGAGATGGGAATGGGAGGGCAGCATACGCCATGTGATGGCTCACACTAAGTAGATAGTGTAATATACACTATAAATCAGGTTAATCTGATTGATTTTGTCTTTTTACTCCTTCAGAAGCAATTCCACTCAAACCTATATATTATGTGTGTGTATATATATATTTGGTTAGTGTACTGATCGATCCAATAGATTGGTGGTTACGAGTCCAATTCGAGAAAAGCGGGCAAGATATTTTCAGAATTTAACTACCATCCAAGAGTTTTGACTAAAATAAGTTGTTTTTGTGTGCATGTCTGACTAAAATAAAATTACATTACAGCATTCTGATTCCTGTTAATCCCAGACCCAAACAAAAAAAAAGAAAAAAAATAGAGAACAAATTATAAAATAAAAAATAGAGAGAGATTGTCCTTCCAACTATGTTTCAACCAAACACAAGCTCCAAGAAGAAATAAAGAGGAAAACTAAGTAATTAACCACCTTTGCACATATTAAGGAATTTCATACAGTAATGCTATGTTGATCAAATTTGGTAGCAAATTTTGGATACCCTCCGATATGTCACCAATGCATTAGTGTGCCAAGAGAGTTGCAATACAGATTGACATTGCCAAGGACGGCAGCGGATTTTTTTGGGATTGTGAGGAGTAGGAGTGGGCTCAACTAAATATCTACACACATTGATTCACTAATATATCCTTAAAAATCTAAGAGATATAATTCATGAATCATGACCCACACATCCATCTCCTATTACAATTGACATCCTTGAAGTTAGTTTCATGGGAAACTCGTGGAACCTTTTTCTTTAGAAACTGAACTATAATTGGCAAAACTAAAATTAAAATTTCTCATAAGCAAATATCTTCATAAACCAACATAAATAAAGAAGTCAAAATATCACGGCACATGCATTTGGAATCTAAGATTATGGTTTTAATGTGCCTGAGTCATACCCCAATAACTTCTTCTGGTTGTGGTCGGTCCTTTGAGCGATCACAAAAGTTCTTGTACTCTTCTGCATCTCTTATAGCATATGTACTTAGCTGCGCATAGAGTACAAGTGAGAAATAATGGAATGTTATTTGTCTCCACAAACAAGGCATGAAGTTCATGGGTGATAAAAGAAGAAAATATCTAGCCCTACCATGCGGAGGAAAGGGAAAGTAAAACAATTGGTCCTTCAACCAATGGGAATAAATAAAAATGTAATATTGATTCCAGAATAAAAATATACAATGTTACAGTACAGAAAGCAAATGAGCATATGCAATGTAACCTCCTAGAACTATATTGCCAATATAACATAATTTTTCAACAGTCCATGGCCAGATCTCAAATATTCTAGGATCATGGGTAAGGGACTGATAATCAATAGGAAGAAGCTAGTGGTGCTTTAGATGCCAAATCTATGACAATGGTCTCATCATGTACAGATTATCATACAAACAAATGCCACTAATAATAAGAACTCTCAGATGTTCTCAATCAATATCTTAAACAACATTTACTCTACAAAACAAATAATAGCTCTCAATCAATACCATATGCAACATTTTCTTTACAAAACAAACAACAAATTTACATCCAACTAATTAGATGTGAAAATGATGCAGTGAAATTTATGATAGATGGAAGTGAAAATATCAAAATTAATAAATTTTAAAATATCAAACCTCCGTAGCTTCATCCCTCTACTAAAAATAAATTTCAAATTTGCATAATGCATCAGTGCATGACACAGTATAGTAATAACAGTAGCTGCAATTACAATTGCATTTATAATGATAAAAGCGACAGGAAAAACAGTACAAAGCTGAACCACAAAACAAACTTGATCCACACCTCTACATCACAATTCTTCTCCTTTGGACAAGGCTTCACCATCAAAAATCTCTGCAACAAGAGAGCTGTTAGAAACCATCAAGGGTAAAGAGATTTTAAAAACTAAAATTAAAACTTCTTAGAAGAAGAAAGAAAATTCTAACAGCTTCAAGCCCGAGTAATGCCTTATATTGTTGTTTCATTGAAGGAACTACAGTCACTGTTATGGGAGAAGAAAACAATGTACTGTGTGTAAAACAAAAAGATATAGCAATTTAGAAAAAAACAGTGCAGAGTAACCATTTGAGTGATGATATGGATTCATGGCATACCTGACGGAAAGGCTTATGAGGAGTCCTCCAAAAGGCCTGTCATGTGCAAACAAAAGATATGCTTAATGAAGCTAACATTTTTTTGCAATTACAAATCAAAATCAAGGAGAAAAAAATCCGTAGGAAGCTAATATACTAACTTGTTCAAAATATAGAACCTTTGAACCATCCACCATATCCGCAGCTGGGCATGAAAGCCATCTACAAAAATAAAAGAAAAAGCTCTTGAAGTCCTTGAAATTTTTCTGAGACATAGTTTGTCAACATTTTGAAAATAATCATTGTTCTTTAGAGCAAAGTTTTTCCTTCATTTTTCGCATTCCTATATAGAAACAAGACATGACAGGCAGTTAAAAATGTAAATCACATAGTACAAAGAGGATAGTTATTTGAGGCACTTCCAGAGCATCATTAAAACACGAAATGACAGTTTGCCAAATCAGTCCCGATAATCTAAAATCAAATTCTAAGAATGGCTCAACCAGAACAAGCCAAAGTATCGGGACTTCAAAAATTAACAGATAACATTATAACAATAATGCTCAACACAAGGGAAACAAACTCACATAGTACCAGCACAAAAGCTTAGTTAAAGACACAAAGGAAATAACAAAATATGCAATATATAGTAACAGTAATTGATATAAATTCACACACACACAGGCGACCCGGACTAGTTTCCTGTTAAAGAGGGTTAGGAGAGGCCAAGATGTAAGCAATCTTATCCTCATTTCTAGAGAGGCTTTTTCCGTGACTTGAATCCGCGCCACTAGTACATGCATATATATATACTAGAAAGTGTGCACACCCACATGAGTGCGCTTCAAATTTGCAATTACAAAAGGCCCATGGGTGTATTTGAATTGGATAGTTCCAGAAAAGGAAGAAGGGTAGTTTAGGACTTAAAAGGACGTTCATACAAACTCAAGTGTTTGCATTATATTATAGAGTTATAGAATATAAGAATTGATATACATATACATATATGCGCACTATTATATAAAACACACAACTCAAAAGAAGCTTTGTCATGACTCCTGTATACATAAAATACCCTTATACATCATAATAAGGGCCATGATTCTCAAATAATAACCGCTTTCTCATTCCCAACTTGAGCCTCGCAATTTTATTTTAAATTTCAAATTTTTATAAGTTCTTCTTCATTCCCCCCCCCCCCCCCCCCCCCCCCTCATCTACATTTTTTTTTTTAGTCAATCCGAAAAAGATCAACCGATTGATTTTCTTAGAACACCTTGTAGTACATATACATATAAATCCAAGATTTAAGTGGGTTAGATTTGAATCGCGCACCAATATTTAGTAAGCAATACAAACACAAAAAAATTGAAAAAAAGAGAGAAAGGGTACCTCAAATTGAAGTAATTATCAGGGTCTCTAGAAGCCTGCTCTCTCGAGTACTACCAAATCAACAACACATACAAAATTAAACATCACCAAAAATCAAAAGAACCAGAAAAGCAACTGAAAATAGAACACAGAGAGCGAGAGTACCTTCTCGCCGGAGAGAGACTGAGCGACGAAGCGAGAATGGTCCCAACGAGTGGTGGACTTGGTGAGACGCTTGAGCAACACCGCACCTCCGATCAATACCACCGCCTTCAACACCAATCCCCGAGCTCTGCTCCACCCGTTGGCCTCCGACCCCGTGCCCATCCCCTACTACTACCGCTACTGATACTATCTTCTTCTCTCTCCATAACCCATCTTCTTCTTCAGTCAATCTCTCAAGAACTCGATTGAAATTTTAAATAAATAAATAAATAATTGATTTTTGTTTCTACAGATGAGAAAGAAATGCGAGGTCGTTAAAAAAAGCAGAGAATTGGAAAAAAGTTTAGGGTATTTTTTGATGAAGAATGAGATGAAATTGTTGATTTTTGGATGTGATGAAAGAGGGTATATTCCGAGTCCAAACGAGCCTACTTTTGTGTGAGGGATTTGGCGTATGCGGAATTGGGGATGATCGGGTGATTTCAGGTTCTTCCAACCACCACTTCAGTGGTGGTTTGGGATTTTTCTTGTTTTTTAAAGAATCAAAAAAATATTAAAGTATTTCAAAAGTTGTTAAAAAAAAATTGACTAAAAAAAATTATATGATGTTTGACTCTTTTTTTTTTAATTTATGATAAATATAGTAAATATTTTTGTGCTTTTTTCAAAAGTTAAAAGTGCAATTTTTTTTTTTTTTTAGCGTTCCATGCACTTTTTTTGTATAGCTAGAGAGTTAGGTGATGTTTGATAAAATTGAATTTCTTAAATTAAAAAGTTATTTGATAAAAAAATTAAGTATTGAAATAAAATACTAGATTTTTTAATATAGATCAAATTTAAAATTTATTATTTTTAAATTATAACTTCTAATTTTATATTGTAATGGTGGTAAAGTTAAAGACATAGTAGTTGTGGTAAAGGCAGAAAAGTAACATAATGGAGTTAAAAGGGGAATGGCAGCAATGTAATAATGGTGGTGTAATGATAATGGTGGTAATGGTTTGTGGATGTGAAGGGTAGTTATAAGGTGATTAAGAAGTGGTTGTAATGCAATGACAACTATGCTAGTGGTGTGGTGGTAATAGGTGATTGTGGTAGAAAGGGGTGTATGGTGGCAGTAGCTGTAATGGTATCGTAATGATTGTGGTGGTGGTAACAGTAGTGGTAGTGGCGGAAGGGTAGTGGCGGCGGCAATAAATGTAGTGGTGGAGCGATGGTGGAGGTGACGGTAGCAACAATGACGATGGTAAAAGTGGTGGTAGTAATGGCTATGGTAATAATTATAATGGTGGCAGTGATAGTAGTATGAGTGACAATGGTGATGGTAGCGATAATAAGGCTATAATCATGTATGTGAACATGTATGCATAAGTTTTTATAAATTCAATCGGAATTAAGTAAGTTTTCTATCACTTATTATTTTTAAAATTTTTAGCCTTCATTTTGATATCAAGTTATCAAACAAGTTTAAATTGGACTATCAAACACTACTTTAGTTAGAAAGTCAACATAGGTAGAAAGCTAACAAAACTTAAACCAAAAAAATATATCAAACTCATCTCTATAGAAGTTGAACTCAAGACTTAAGACCTACAAAAAATGTTACACAACCATGAACCCTAATTTCATTTGCCAACTTGATTTTTAATTAAATTAATGAATAAAAAAAATGGATGGTGAAATTGTCTCCACACTGGATTAGCGAGTTGATTCGCCCACTTCTTGATTTGCAAGAGAAACCAAAATCAATGATCATGCCCAACCTATATAGGTCGGGAGAACTCTCCGACAATCAAATCAATAATTTGGTCAAATATTCTATATAATGAAAATGAAATACGTATTTTTTGTGTAGAATCTTAGGTTATCTTGGTTTGTCCTTTTCTCTTTTACCTAGTCCCTTTTTATAGCTGATTAGGGCTTTTATCTTAACTGTTGATTGCCCTTTAATCGAATGGTTCCCCTTTGGTCAGCAACTACTTTTGTTAGTGGCCAAGTTGTGCTTGCTATGAATTGTATTTTTTTTTTCTATCAAACAATTATGATGATTGTTAGGTTTTTATTCTTGGCAATCCCGTTTGATTAAATTCCTTTCAGTTGTAATTGTATTCGATCTTTTGTTTCAGTAAGGCTATGAGTTTTAGATGCAAATCCAACCCGAATTGTACCTATGTAGAGGAGTTTGTGATCTTAATCCTATCATGTGTTGCCACTTCGTTGACTATGTCGGGGATCGAGCTGCCTGGTCAGCTCGCAGGGATCTAAGAGGCAACGCTTCTTAGCGGGTCCAGGACAACGCCTATGCGAGGTCGAGGGGCAGCGCCCTCGAAGCAAAAAGAAAAATTGCAATCAAAGTTGTCTTTCCACTCGAGTGGCTATTCCTACGCTCGAGCGTAGACTTTGTTTAGTCACACGTGTTTTAGTCACTCCGCTCGAGTGGCCATTCTTGCGCTCGAGCGGAGATCGCGGATCTGTTTATTATAAAAGCTATGGTTCAGTCGGGGTTTAGGGTACGGCTTCCAAATCTTCTTCTTGGGTGTTAGGGTTTTCTTTTGGAGCTTCTTTGCTTGTTTCCTTCGATATCTATGAGAGTTTAATCATGAATTGAGTGGATTATATCAAAGAGTTTGTTTAGTTTGTTTTATTCAAAAAAGAGAGAGTTGTTTTTTAGTGGATTTCATGGAGTTTGGCCCTGAAACTTTAGTAGATTTTGGAGTGGCTCATTATCGTGGATTCGACATCGACATTGTGAATTCAACGTTGGGGAAGACAATTCCGATGTGAAGACTATGGTGGAAGATACATATAGAGGTCGGTTCAATTCAGGTGTAGGTTCGCTAGATAATTGAAAGTACACTTGTGTTCCTTTTGTCTTCTCAGTGGATTCTTTTATGTCTTTTGCCCGTGATTTTTTTATCACAATTGGAGGCGCTCTAATTATGATTTTTTCACGTTAAATTATTATTTTAAATTATTTTTAATTATTTGATTAAAATTATTATTTATTAATTAAAATTGATACATAATCACAAACACATATCTCGACAATAGATTTTACAATGATGTCAGATTATAGTGGCCAAGTCAATAGGTATTGATCGTCGGATTAGAATAGATCGGCGGTACTGCTCTTTATCAGTGATAGTCTAGGTAGTAGCCTATCTGCTTTAATCCCTGTCTGCTGGATGTATGTAGATCCAACGGCTATCCTCTCATCCATATCTCATTTTTCTGAAGCGATGTGGCTGTGATCCGCCACTCGTCTAGGTCGCACCTATTCTGAGCTTTCTTCGATTTGGGCTTATATCGTTATTGGGCTTGAGTTCTTTATTTGGGCTGAACCTCAGATTTTTACTCTCCAAAAAATCAAAAAATAAAAAGTTAAAAATTACCAAAAAAAAAAAAAAAAGTCATGCATCTTAATAATTCATGATTTTCGATATATCTAAAAAACGTTATTCTCAAATGTATTATTTTTTTCACCTAATAAAAAATCAATTATCAAATGAAACCTAAATATTGGATTTGAGAGTGATGTCATGATCGACATCATCAGTTAATTAAAGGAAAAATAAAATAGAGACCTTTGATTTAAGTTTTACAATTGTATGACAACGGCGCGATATGTTAGTATCAATTTTTTATTTATCACAAATTTAGACCCAATTTAGTAGCTTGCTTTTAGGCTAAAATAGTCCCGCACAAAAAATCAAAAATTAAAAAAATTATGAAAAACGTAAAATGCCTAGTAAAAAAAGTTGAACATCTTATTAATTTTTGATAAAATTATTAAAAAAAAAAAATCATTCCCAAACAAATTACATTTTTCCACTTTATAAAAAAGTCAAAAAATTAAAAAAATTATCAAATGAAACCTTAATTATGTAATCCCAACTTTCTTATCATATCATTGTGCCACTTAAATTATGAATACCCGGCATTTCTAAAAAAAAATAAGACTAATGCTATATGCACCAATTAGTACACTAACTAGTGTATTAATTGGTGATGTGACATAATTTATGATATTTTTGTATTTGTAATTTGTATAATGAGTGAGGTTAATAATAATGTCATAACTAATGTTAGTATACCAGTTAGTACACTAATTGATACATGTAGCACCACTCAAAATAATGACACTTATCACTTCTTACAAATTTAACCTAATTATTTAACTTTCTTTTAAAATAAAGCAAATACTAATAAGTGTCCTATGCATTGTTTAATGTTAGGATCTTTTAAAAAAATTAAAAAATGAGTAAAAAACTGTTATAAAACTAATAAAAAGTGTATTGCATTTTACATTACTCTAGTTTTTTCTTGTGTTGCTAGGACACAACACTTATTAGTAAGACCTTTAAAATAACATAAACTAATGTAAATAATGTGTAAACATAGGGATAAATAAGGTGAATTATACATTTCAATGCAAAGGATATAATAACATTATTTTGAGTTATACGATTATCAAATCGATCTAATTTTTTTCATGGTATGCACTAAGAACCCTACAAAATAAATCATTTGAATTATCAAAATAAAACTCGTGATAGGCCCTACAAACCCGTCAAGTTCTTTTAAGGCTGTGTTTGAATAATAATTTTTTGTAGTAATTTATTAAAACTGTGTTTAAATTATAAATTTGGATAATAATTTAAAAATAAAAAGAGAAAAGATAAGACACTTCATTTTCAAATTTCTATATAAATTCTTGATTCAAACCCATCTTAAAAATTCATACTTAACCATATGATATTATAATACGTGGAAGTGAAAATTAGATGCTAAACTCAAATTTATTCACAAAGAAGCCCAAAAGACAGAAACCAACTTGCAGGTACTACATGATCAATTGGTTTTTGGGTAAAAACCACAGAAGACTAGAACTAGTGGGCTAATTACAGTTTTAGAGCTGGAAATGAAGTGGTGTTGATAAGCCAAAGACCTCTCATGAAACCTCCATCAGGAAGAGGAGGAGGAAGATCAGTTGTTAGAGCAGCCATGGATTCAGTTACAGAGTTCTTTCCCGCCTCGAAACAGTACACGGGGGCTTGCCACTTTGCATCCTCCAGCACCTTTCCCACCTCAAATGTCATCACATGCACTTTAGCTCCTGCAACCAAACAAATATTTTTACAATCTATAATATGAAACGTATAAGAGTGTGTGTCATATGCATCTTATAATTAAATAAAAAAATAACAAAACTATATACTTTTTGATTCATAACTAAAATAAAAAAATAAAAAAAAAAGAGAAAATTTACTCATAAATCCCATATAAGAAAATGTTGATCTATTTAGTTTTAAGAATTTTCTTATGAATCAATTAGTTTTTTGTTCTGAAAAGTTGTATTTATTCGATTTAGTGCCATTTGAATTTAAATGAATGTTTTTTTGTGATTCATTTTTCTAATTTTTTGATTTATTTTTGAGATGAAAATGAAAAAGTGAAGTGTGGAAGATTCTTTTTGGAGGATTAGTAATTGAAGTGTTGGTTGTCGAGTTTAGAAATTTACATTTCTGTTAGTGTGATTTTCTAATGTTATATTGAAATATTACATTAAAGTGTTATTTTAAAAAAATACACTAAGAAATTTTTGTGTGTTACATAGTGATTAGAGTGTTATGTTTGGAAAAAATACATTAAATTTTTTTTTTTTTTAAATGTTATGTTGTTACGCGTAAGAAAAGCACACTAAGAAATTTTTTAGTGTGTTATATTTGAATTTTACGTTTGGAAAAAACACACTAAGAAATTTTTGTGTGTTATATTGATTAAAGTGTTACATTTTAAAAAAATACACTTAAGGCATTTTTTAGCGTATTACATTAAAATGTTACATTTTTTGGAGTGTTAAATTAGAGTGTTACATTTAAAAAATATATATATTAAGGAGATCTTTTTAAGTGTTACGTTTAGTAATTTTAACATTATAAGAAAAGGGCTGTGCTACATCCCTCTAATTTGGGGAGCCCTAATCCCCCGAAAATTGAGACCAAGGCAAAAAAATAAAATAAAATAAAAAAAAAAAAAATAATAATAATAATAATAATTCCCCAAAACGACGTCATTTTGGGGATTAGGGGGATTCGGGACGGACTTTTTTAGGGCTCCAAATCATTTCCCATAAGAAAATTCACATTTGTCCCTCAACACATAACACGCGCGTTTATACTTGATCCTTTATGTTATTTACACTAGAATTGAACCTTTGGGTCTATAAGAAAAAAATGGAGAATCAAACCGTTCATAAGATCATTATTAGATTTATTGATGTTTCACCCAGAAAACAAAATCATAATCAAACATCACATAAGCTATAACTAAAGATTTCATAAGTTATAATTAAAATATTGTCATAACTAAAAAATAAAATTAGTTACAATTAAAAAAAAAATTACATAATTAAGAGTACATATGACACACCCCTTAAAAGAAGTGTGTATAATAAAATTTTCATCTACACTATATACTCTATATACTTAAAAGGAATTTTCCTATAGTGTTGCTCACATTTAAATGAAATGAATACTACTTTTTATTCAAAATACAAATTTTATATGCTTTTCTTTTTTTTAAAAGGTTAAAAAAATTGTGATTTTGAAGATGCTGGCTTTCTCTTTGATAACTATTTTTTCATTTTTTTTAAAGTGAAAAACAATTCAGTCAAAATTAGTTTATTTTATTTTATTTATTTATTTTTGTTAACTTTCATCTTATCAAATCTTATAAAATGCAAAATAAATAAATAAATAAATATATATATATATATATATATATGTGTGTGTGTGTTGTGTTTAAAAAAAGAACTTTCCTATTTTTTAATATTTCCCTTGCACTTTACACTTTTTCTATTCTAAATTACTGTTAAATTGTCTATTTAATTTTTTAACTATCAATTGTAAGGCTGAGTAAGAAATCTGTGAAATCCGTAATCCGATCCATTACAGTCCAATCCGATAGGTTTGGATTAGTTTTTTGAATGGTTCCGGATTAAAAAATTAAAAATCCGTAGTCCACGGATTGGTTCCGGATTGAACCCCACAGTTTCGGATTGGAACTGATCCGGACCGTATACAAATAGTCTATATTTTTATTATACATCCCCCCCCATAATATCTTCTCTTATTCCATATAAAACCTAAACTCAAACCTAAACTTGCATAATATTTTCTTTTACTACTTTTGTTTGTTAGTTTTTAATTTTAATTTGTAATGATCTAAATACTTATGATGAAACCAATTTTCTTATAGTTGTTTAAATTCTAAAACAGTAGTCACTATTATAGAAAGACATGTTGCTATTGTGAAACTAATATAGCGCTACGTTTATGTTTTAATGAAATTAAAGTGTTATGTATATATATTTTTTTGTTATTTAATTATATGAATCAGTGGTCCTAAACTGATTCAATCTGTGTTTAAATGGATTGGTTCGGATTGGTTCCATGATTTAAACGGATTGAATTGGTTCCAATTTTTCAGGAACTGTAGATAGCGAATTGATCTTGATTTTACCTCAATCCGATCCAATCCAGACCATGCTCACCCCTAATCAATTGAGTTTACTTAGTCTCTAAAATATATAAATTAAAATTGATTTTTAAACTATCGATTTAATTTATTAAGTCTCTACAGTATTTAATTGAAACATATATAGTCCCTGACAAGATTATAAAAATAAAATATAAGCCCATAAATATTATAAATTAATAAATGACCCTACCAAATTAAGATTTTATTTCAAAAATATTTTAGATAACGTTTGGTTTACTTTTCAAAACTCACTCTATTTTTAAATCATTATTTTGATACAACATGTTAACTAAACATATTTTTAAAATACAACTCAAAATTATTTTTTAAATTTCTATGTTCGCTTTTTTATTTTATTATTATTATTAATCAATCAATCACTTTTTATCTCTCATTTTTCTTGTCACATTCTGTATATTAATCAATCAAAAAATAAAAAAAAAATAAAAAAATTACAAATCATCCTACAATTATTTCCAAAATTCATAACCAAACAAATTTTTTTCTTTTCAAATCATGATTCAAAAACTCAAAACTTAAAACACAACTCCACACTTAAATTATAATTCAAAAACTAAACCAAATGGACCTTTAAATTAAATTAATATTACAGTCTGATTTCTCAGTCTTGCTAATAAAATTATATAACTATTAAAATACAGAAAAACCAAAATTCATAACCAAACAAATTTTTTTCTTTTCAAATCATTATTCAAAAATTCAAAACTCAAAACTCAAAACACAACTCCACACTTAAATTATAATTCCAAAACTAAACCAAATGGACCTTTAAATTAAATTAATATTACAGTCTGATTTCTCAGTCTTGCTAATAAAATTATATAACTATTAAAATACAGAAAAAGTAAAATTAGATAATTTAAATAATAATATTTCGCTACAAATTATAATAGAACAAAATAAAACATTAATTAAATTATAAAAAAAATTTATCAAACATTTTAAAAACAATCAATTAAACATTATAAATGAAATTTGATATTTAAAACTAGATAAAAACTATCAAATAGTCATTATAAAAGATAAATAAGAAAATATTACAAACAATTTACCTATACCCTTATAAAAAAAAAAATACTAAAAGAATTGACACCTATTTTTTGAAGACAATATAAAAATTTAATAATTTTTTTTTATTAATTTACAATGTTTATAGATTTATATTTTATTTTTATAATCATTTAAAGGATTAAATAAATTTAAATTAAATATTTTATAAATTTAATAAAATCACCCGATAATTTAAGAATTAAATAGATTTAAATTTATGCAGTTTAATTGAACTAAATCCATAATTTAAAAAACTAAATAAACAACTAAGTAATAATTTACGAATAAAAAATAAACATTTTTTTTAACAAAACCTAAAATACATCTAAGAAAATCTTACCTTCAAACCAAAAAACAAAAACAAAAACAAAAAACCAACATGTTTATGAAAAAATTTAAGAATTGGGCAATGCAACACAACAAATTCCACATCCAAAACACCAAAACAGAGAACAACCCACCCAACCCATCACCCAAATTCACAAAAAAAAAAAAAAAAAAAAAAAAAAAAAAAAAAAAAGCCCAGATTATAAAAAAAGCTCCAAACCTGTATGGAAGACCCAATGAACAGGTCTCTTAGTCTCAACATCCTGATAATACCATATAAAATCAGCCTTCTCCCACCCATCGCAGAGGAACCCATCCACATAACTCCGGCCGAGGTAGTTGGCGCCGTCGAGCCAATCAGGTCTGAGAATCCCAACCTCGAAAAGCACAACTTTGCATTCACGATTGGAGTCCAAGGTGTAGTAAAAGGAAGTGCCGTTGTTCCATTCGAGATCGTAGGTGAGTTTGGCGAGCTGGTGTTGGATGATGTTGAAGTTGCGGCCATTGGGCCAGTCGTACCAGAGGTCGACTACCTGGAGGGATCCGCTGCGATTTATGAAGAGGATTGAGTGGAATTGGGGCGGCCATGGTGATGGGATTGGTGGTTGTGGTGGTGGGTCGGTGGGGTTTGAGGCTGTGGAGAGGACGAGGATGCTGAGAAGGAGAGAGATTGTGATGGAGATGATGATGATGGGTTTTGGTGTAGAAGAAGAAGAAGCCATGGTTCGTCGTTGTTGTTGGTAGTCCATTAATCTGCTGATAAAGGCTCAGAGGACAAAGGATATGGAGTCACGGAGGAGGGAGAGGGAGAGGGAGAGGGAGATGGTTGGGATCGGGTTGGAAGTGTCCTTTTGGGGATTTTATTATTCTTTCTCGATGACAATCCCTATTTTCATATACGGAGAGGGTTGGGTTTAGTTTGGGGTGTAATTTTGCCCCGTGGTTGACGGGCGGCTTGTGGTGAGCCCGGCCCGTTAAGGTCCGTTTAGGACTGAATTCAAGCTTAGTCTGAGGTCTTGGGTCAAGGTTTGAGTCATCGTTTTGAAGTCCGGCTCGATTTACTTGGCTCGGCCTATTGGCCCGGCCAAAAGCCCGACCCACCCGATACCCAGTGTTATTTTTAATAAAAAATAATAAAATTTTGATGGAAAAAAATAAAAAAAAATCGGGTTCGGGCCGGAAGCCTAGGCCCAAGCCCAAAGCCTGAGCCTAGGCTCGAGCCCATGGGCCCGCCCTAAGGCCCCGCTCAAAGCCCGAATACCCCTGGGCTTGGGCTTGGGCCTAGGCTTCTGGCCCGAACCCGATTTTTTTGCGAGAGCCCACAAGGCCCGACATGGGCCTTGCCCGAGCCCGAATGGGCCAGGCCGGACTGGGCCAAAATTACATCCCTAGGTTTAGTTTGTTAAACCAGATTATGGCTTGGTTTGGAAAGTGAATTGATTTTTTAGTGTTTTTTTTTTTTTTGATTATTTTAGTTTGGGGTTAAAATGTTTAATTTGTGAGAGAAAGAATGTAATGATTATGGGTTTGATGTGATATTTTGTCTTATTGGGACTAAAAAACCTATTATATTTTTTTGTGGCTATTTTAGCTCCAAACTCACCCAAACTATGCCTATAAATTTATAATTTAATAGATTATCGATTATGATTTTAATTAGAAATTGTTAATTTGTTTGGTGTAACTGTTGGATTAAAAATTTAAATTGCTGAGTAGTGTTTGTTAAATAAGTTATAAAATACATTTTTACTGTGTAATGTTCTTTTTGCCCTTACAAAATATAAAAATTGTTTTTTTTATTTTTTTATTTTCTTCAGTTTTGATTTAAAAAAAAATTATTTCATTAATACAAGTTAATATAATTAGTATAAATTAATATAAAAATTGATATATTTTATTACAACAATTGTTATTTCATTTTTTTATTTCATTTTATAGAAGTTATTTCATTTTTTTTATCATTTCATTTTTTTTTTCATTAATATCAATAATTGTGAAAGAAATTGTGCAATTGTCCAATTTATATCAATAATTGTGAAATAAAAATTGTGATTTTTTTTCATTACAATACAAATTAATAATATAAAAATTGCTAAGTTTTTTTAATTTATTAATTCATTATATCAACCGTCAGCCGCCTTTTGCAAAGCCGGAGAGAACACAGAGAGAGCTAGGATTAATCGCGAAGAGAGAGAGAGAGAGAGAGAGAGGCCTATCGTTGAGATAGAGAAAAAGAGAGGCCCGATGGTGACGTCGAAGAGAACACAGAAGGTTGATCGCATCGTGATGGTTAGGGTTTCCCATCGTGACACTAGGGTTTCGCATCGCGATGGTTCACAACACTGGAGGAAGGAAAAGAGAGGGAGAGAGCTCTAGTTCACAACGCCGGAGGAAGGGAGAGAGAAAGAGAGCCCTAGTTCACAACGCCGGAGGGAGGGAGGGAGGGAGAAAAAAATAGAGAGCTCTAGTTCACAACGCTGGAGGAAATGAGAGAGAGAGAGAGAGTGGCGATTTCCGACATGAGAAAGGCGATTTTCGGCGTGACGATCGGCGATTTCTGGCATTGTGAACCAAAACGCTCTCTCTCTCTCTCAGAGTGAACAATGACCTTTTGTGGTTTATATAGTGGCAATTTGATAATCCTTTAAATTGGTGAAGGGCATCTAAGTAATTTTGCCCCTCAAAGTTGGCCCTCCGCTTAATCTGAGAATCAGAAGCACCCGTAGGGCTATTTCTCAGATTCTGATTATTTTCCTTAAAAAAAAACTATTAGAAGTTGAAGTTGGTGTGATAAAGCTGACACAAACAACTAATTTTAGCTTTTTTTAAGTTAAAAGCTATAAGTTTGGTGAAAAAAGTAGGACCAAACACCGCCAGTTGTTTCCCAATTAGAGGATGTTGTTAGGCATTTGTGGGCTCATTACGAAATCGTATCAATAATTTGAATTGTTAATATGTAAAATTTGAAAGTATTTTATTTTTGTAAAAAATTATGTTGATCGGATATTAATATTTACATAATCAGATCATATTTGTATTAATAATTTATTTTAAAAATTATATTTACCGTTGATATAAATGTGATATGATCAAGTATTTATCGATATTTGATCAATGTAATTTTTTGTAAAGATAAAATACTCGACGAGTTCTATACATTGAATGATTCAAATTATTGATACAGAATTTGTGTTGAGCCCCCGAAAACCAACAACACCCTCTAATCTAATCTGATTTGGATGGGAGATAAAGCTTTTCCCCTTTGATATTCACCTCTTTAAGATTTTTTATTTTTATTTATGTAATTTTAATATAATTATATTAATTTATGTTTTTAAAATTAAGGATTCCGTTTGGAAAGAATTTTTTTAGTTTGACTTTTTAGCTAATTTAGCCTAGTTAAATTAGTTCATTTTGAAAAGAATTTTGGAAAAATTACATGCAAGTGAGAGTTGAGGAAAAAAAATTACCAATACATAAAAGGGTGCAAGTGACACTTACATCCCAACAGCCTTTCATTTGCACCCTACCACAGACACACTTGTACCCCCATGTATTTGTAATTTTTTTCCCCCAACTCCTACCTGTATGAAGTTCCCTCAAGAACTTTTTGACTTTTTAGAATTTTTGTGAGAGAAAAAGTGAAACGGTTATAATTTGAATGTGACATTTTGTCTTATTAATTTATTTAGCCTATTTTTTTTTTTTACGTTTTTTTAATCTTAACCTAAACCCAATGCACTTGCTAAACAACAGCTAAATAGATCCAAACTATAGGGTAAAAATATATAACTAAAGGGTTCAGATACCATTCAAATTCAACTTGAGAGAGTTTTTTTTAGCTTGGTGGATCCAGTTGGAGTGAATCACAGTGATTTGAATCGTTTATTTTTTAGTTATTGAGTAAAAATTTTATACATAAATTAAGATGATCAAATTTCAATAGTTATATGTTTGAATCACATATTTTTTCTTTTTTCTTTTTTAAATAAATGACAATTATAATTTTAAGAATAGCCATTCATTTTTTGTAATACATATGTGATTCAAACATATAAGTATCGATATTTGATCATTTTAATCTTTTGCAAAAGTATTCTACTCAATGAGTATTAAAAATTGAATGGTTTAGATCACAGAGGTCAATTCCAAAATGGGCTCATCAAGCTCAAATATTCTCTCAAGTTAAGGTCTGTGTAACTTATCTTTTGATTTTGGATAAATTGCAAATACACCCCTTAAAATTTGTTTAAAATATAAATTTTTTCATGTAATTCTGGAAATTATATTCTACCCCTTCAAGTTTTTAATCTCATAACCAACGACCCATTTTGTTAATAATGTGACACCTCAAAATTTAAGGGCATCATAATAAGATTTAGAACTTAAAATCAATATTGCCACCAATATTACTATCATCCATTAATTAACAATGCATAAATTTAAAGTTCTTAAATTACAGCTTAGTCTTAGTACATAAAAATAACACAAATATAAAAAGAAAACTAGAAAATTTAGAAAATAGTTCATGGAACTTGGGCACTCTTCAAGCTAACCAAGGTTGAATGTTGCCTTACAAGGCTTCGATGTTTCCTTCGATTTCTTCGGTACCTGGCATAAAACGCCAGGGCAACAGGAATGCCAATGAGTGACGAGCTCAATATGGGCGACTGTAGACACCCCATTTTTGACCGCCCTTAAGACTTGGGCGCTACTGATGGTTTACTTGGTCGTGAAAGTTGTGCAGTGCAAAGGTTCGATTTCTTCGGCAAGGAGAGAGAGTCAAATCCCAACTTCACACCCCTTCTGGACTAAAACGATCTTGATCAAAAGATTTTAGACCTTGAAACCCTCTCTTTCAAAATATTTTTGAAACAAAGTTCCTACGATGTTCCGATGCTCGCATTTTGTTAAATGTTGCGCTTTTCGGTAAACCGAGCAAGGACAAAATGGAAATGAATGAAAGAGAGGTGAATTCTTTGAAAAATATTTCAAAACACCTTGTTTAGGGGTTTGGATTTGAAGAAAAGAGGAGAGGAGAGAAGAAAACAAGTTGGAGGAGAAGTTTGGCATGAATCCTGGCAGGATCGAAACTGAGCAGTCTTCACTCAAATAGGCATAACCTTTTACACACTTGAAATTTTGAAGTGAGGCTGCTACTGTTGAAAATCTTACTTCCGGAGCTTCAATTTGGACACAAGAATGACCTGAAAAGGAGTACAGATGAAGGAGTTATGTCCATTTGAAGTTGGACCTAGAGAGCAGATTTTCTCTGCCGGCCACTGGTGAAGGGTGCCGGCCATGGATGATGCAGTGCCAGCCATTGTTGGTCCTTGCCAGCCAGAAATGGTGTAGGGCCGGCCATCTATGATCCTCTGCTGGCCAACAGTGGAAAAACTCATTTTTTTTTTGCAGATATTTACCTCTAGTTGTCTCCATGTTGCTCTAGCTGTCTTTGGCTTGATATTTTCGACCTGAAGCCATGTTTTGCTATATATAGAGGCCTTTCTCTATGGTTTGAGGGGTTAGAACAAGTTGGCAAGTTTGGGGAGCCTCTCTCTCTAAAGTCTCTCTTTCTAGAATTTTGAAGAGCAAAAATTCCAGCCCCTCCCTCTAGAAGCCTCTTTCTCTTCTTGTTTTGAGCCTTAAGTTTAGAATCCTTTACACTTTTGCAAAGAGACCCTTGATCAAACTTAACCACCATTGGGCTGAGTTTTTTTGAGGATCATTTGGAGCTCCTAAGGTGGTTTTAGCTCATAATTTGGACCTGTTTTGCAGCTGTGCTTCAAGGGTAAGAACTCTCTCCCTTTTAGCTTATTTTGCACGCTTGCTTCACCATCATTTTCCCATTGTTTTGGACTATTTTGGGG